ATAGGACATTGCTCTTTCTAAATGGGAGTGTTAGGCTGACATGTATATCCACTGAGATTTAAGGAAAATTGGCTATAGGATAAGAGAACCTCTTATCCCTATATCCCTCTGCTTGCCCCATCTTATTTGTATAAGTTTCAGGAAGTTGGTTTTCTCTCTAACATTAACAAAATAAAATTTGGAGTGTTCTCTTTATAAGCTCATTGAGTCTTCCTAAGGTTTTACTTGATTAAAAATCAATGCAGTATTAGTTCCTGAAATCTCAGCAAACCTCAATAGTGAGTAAACACTTGACATTCACTCTCTCATCTGTTACCCAAGTTCCTAATGAGACTCTTGAGACAAGCACTGGGATTCTCACATTCTTACTTCTTAGTACCCTGGAGAGATTTTTAATGGGATATTCCCAAGAGACTTAGGGCAAAGGGATTTCCTTCTCTTGGGAAAATAAATGCCCAAAACTCCTGAAACCTCAAGTCGAAGAGATTGTATTTTTCCTGGGCTACTTATCCAGCAAAGGAACTAATGTCCCCATTCTCGAGGAATATAGCAATAATTTGAAGTTCTCTCTGATACTAGAGACAGCCAAATTTTCCTTGCTTTCTGGGTTTTTACTTCCACACCAAGGTGTTTTCATGAGCTTTCTCTGCATAGGCTCAATTCTTTTTAAAGATCACTATCTGGAAAGAGACGACTCCTTCCTATTACCAAGGTCAGAAGCAGTGACAGAACTAAATGAAAATGGAATGCCATATATTTTTTTCCAAAATTTTATTATTTCCCCTCTATGGTTTTCAGTGTTTGGTTGTATTGATTCTCATGTCCATTAATATTATATTTCTTTTTGATCATCTTGCTGTGATAATGTATTCAAGGACATGAAATTCAGCAGACATGATAATGGTCTTCAAATATTTTAAATACTGCCTGGCTAAAAGGAAAATAGGAGGTCAGATAATGTGGGCAGGTGGAGAGTTGCAGGGAAATGGATATGGAATCAATAGAAGGTAACATTTTCTAAGAATTAAGGCCATTCAAAAATAGAATTAATATTAGGTCTATATGGACCTATAAATGGAATATTATGTACTGTTGAAAATAAAGATAGAGATAGATTTATGGAAAGTAGCCACGATTTAATATTATTATTAATATTATTATTATTATTACTATATTATTAAGTGAAAAAATATAGTTGTGAATCAGTGTGTTACATTTAATTCCATTTGTGTAACATTGAAATGATATGGAAATATGCATAAATATACATAGAAAACTTCTATACAGAAATAAATTTTAAAAACAAACATGAATTATGTTTACTTCTAGAACAAAGAATGCATACAAAACTAGAAAACTAACTTTTCCATTTATACTATACGGATGGGTTTTTTTCCCTTAAGCATTTTCATAACATGAAAACCTGTTTTATTTTTAAGTTAACTTAGTATCTGTTTTTTTTAAGTGAGAGGAGATGCTAACTTGTAAGATAAAGAATTTCCAATAATTGTAAGCACTGAATCAGAATTTGGTATACTATTTGTGAGGAATGTTGAGCTTTTAAAATTACCTCCAAACTCTAAGTTTATATGATTAAATTATATATAAATAACTTAAGCTACAAAGCATATGAGTATTTCCAGCTTGCTTCCAACTGGAACAACTTGAATAATGACATGGTTATGATTGACCCCTTGTGCAGGATTGGTTGCCAGGGCTAAGTAGAAAATGATTTTTCTAGAAGATAATAGATTTATATAGTTTTTAAAAATTTTATTTTAATCATTGTTCAAGTACAGTTTTCTGTCTTTTACTTCCATCCCAGCCCACACACCCATCTCTCCCCACCTCCCTCCCATTTCCACCCCCCTAGTTTTTGTCCATGTGTCCTTTATACTTGTTCCTGTATACCCTCCCCCTTTTCTTCCGAAATTCCCCTGAAATTCCCTCCCCTTTCCCCTTGGTATATTTTTTACTGTGAAGAGATGTTAGGCTAAAGATCCAGAATTCACAGAAACAGAATACGGTGTAAAGTGCTGTGTTTCTTAGTGACATGGATTCCACAGATGGAGGCTGCTATTTTGTTTCAATGATCATAATCATATGACAATCTTAGTGTTATCACACATCAGGTCTCTGCCATTTTATGAATCACTGTTCTCCTGAGAGGGTGGTAAGAGAGGAGAGCAATTATAATAATGCATAAGCTCAATTCAATCTTTTCTCTTCTAAATTTTTTATCATGAATTTTTACCTTAATTTTTCTATTCCTTTTAATGTGAGTAGGATAGATTCTCCACTTACATAAGATTTGAGTTTCATTTATTTTTCAGTAATAAATCATGAATCTCAGCCAAACAGTAATGGTTAAGTCCTTAACAATGGTTAAAGCTTAGCAATGGTTAAAGCTTAATTCCACATGCCTGAGGAAAATGTATACTTACATATTTTACTGCACATTTTTCCTGTATTTTGAAATATTTTATATTTTTCTGTTCCTAAAAAAATTTAGTGAAAAAATTCCAATATCTGTCCTCATCCAACTACTTACATCTCACTGTAGTAATATTTTTTAATTTTTATTATTTTATTTTATTTTATTGTTGTTCAAGTACAGTTTTCTGCCTTTCCCCCCAACCCCAGACATCCCCATCTCCCTCCCCTGATTCCAACTCCCTTAGTTTTGTTCATGTGTCCTTTAGAATTGACCCTGTGGTTGTTTAAAATTTCAAATTTTTTATCATGATTTTTGTGCTGATTTTAAAAGTTATTTCATTAAAATTGTGTTCATCTTGATTATTCTGCTCCCTTAAATTTTGCACCCAGGATAGTGCTTCACTTGCCACCTTTGACTTCCAGCAGTATTCAGAAAATTTTGCTGTTTACCAACTATAATCTTTCTTTAAAAACTGAAGTTAATTTCCTCTGGATGTAGTCCTTAGGTGTACAAATTTCTATAAAATACCTGTTCTGTCAACTTCTTTTCTCAAAGGTAAATTAACCCCCTACTTTCACCTCTTCTCAATCCTCTTTGCAACCTCATTATAGAGTTCCATTTGGGAACAGAATTATAAAATTTGGCTTTGTGCTTAGAAAGAAATAATTAAAAAGAAAATCTGTACTATATAGAGAACACAAAAGACAGATCATTTAAGAGTCTCCACTCACTACCCAGAAAAAAATATATTTTTAGCATTCTAGTATATTTTCTTCCCGCCTTTTTTTTAATGGAGGTGTGTCACTGAATGTGTTACCTTTGTTTATTCATTTATTCTTTTTTATTTTCTTTGTGTTATTTTTACAAAATTATGGTCTATCTATGCATCTTTGTATCTACATATGTATCTATATAACTATGTACATATCTATGTATCTACCTTTATCATGTTTTTCATATCAGAGGTTTATAAATATATAATGGCTGAATAGTTCCCATCAAATAGATGTGATATAATTCATTTAATCATTCCTTTGTTTATTTACATTGTTTTTGGCCTTCATTGTTATAAATAATATTATAAAAACTTTTTATGCATACATCCTGATACATATCTCTGGTTATTTCCTTAAAGTAAATTGAATGTAAAATATTAAGCCAAGCAGAGTAGACATGTATTATTACTAATATGATAATATTTTATCTACTTATCTAAACATTTTCAGATTAAAACTTTTCAGTTTCCCTGATGTTTTTCATTTCTTTCCAATTACCATGGCCTTAGAATTAAAAGGTTGGATCTATGACCTTTTAATTTTGTAGAAATCATCTAACCCTAGGTAACTTAGGCTTTCTATCTGCAAGATGGAAATAATAATTACCTAAAATGTGGGATCATTATGCTGTTAAACAATATATGTAAAAATCTTTATAAACTAAAAAATGAAATAAGAGTATTATTTTTGTTGTAACCATTTTTATTAATTTTTTTCAATGAGAATTAATTTTGTGATCTCCAATTACTCCTCAAGTGGAAAATAGAATAGATATGCAAACCTGGCTTCCCCCAATATACCCAGTTTATAATTCTGAAAAAATTAAAAAAGAGATTTCAGAATATAGCAGTGAGTCAGACTAGCTGTGAAAATTCACATGCAGGCAAAAGCTAGAAAACACAGAGAAATACACACATTTAAAGAGAACTAGTTGCAGAGCAAAACTAGCAATTGAAAAGAGCTTGGATTGACAAATTATATGTAGTTTTGAGACTTTCTGAGCAAGAGGAGACTTAAGCATTGAATAAAGATGTTTCATTAAAAAACCAATGGAAAGGAGGAAGGAAGGAAGAGAAGAAGGAAGGAAGGAAGGAAGGAAGGAAGGAAGGAAGGAAGGAAGGAAGGAAGGAAGGAGGGAGGGAGGGAGGGAAGGAAGGAAGAAAGGAAGGAAGGAAGGGAGGAAGGAAAGACTCATAGACACAGACAATAGTATGGTGATTACCAGAGGGAAAGTGGGGTGGGAGGGTAGAAGAGGGTAAAGGAAGGATGAATGGAGATGGAAGGACACTTGATTTGGGGTGGTGAACACAAAATACAACATACACATGATGTATTATAGAATTGTACACCTGAAATCTATATAATTTTATTAATAATGTAGCCCCAATAAATTCAATGAAAATTTTTAAAAAACAATGTTTTTAAAGCAAATTTGTTTTAAGTAAACAAAATTCTGAAACTAAAATTCAAGACAAAACTATTCATTTCCTATTTTTCAGCCTCAGTTTTTCCCTAATGATTATGTTCTAACTCATCAGGACATCTTTTCTAAACTTGACCCAGTTATCCTTCCATTTTACCCCATCCTTTACCTTTGTATATAAATCTGTGTACATAAAATTATTTCCTAATCTGTTTTTTATCTTTACCTATAAGTTAACAGTAGCCTCCATTTACCTGGCATACTTCTAGGAGCAGTTTCTTATCTCCTTTTCCTAGAGTTCTCCTGCTCAAAACATTGGGAACTGATATATTCTGACTAACTGGCCTATGTCTCCAGCTTTTAGATGTGGATTATCAATGAAGAGAGAGAGAACCACACAGGGGTGAGTGAGTTTGTTTTCCAGGGCTTTTCCAGCTTTCATGAACACAAGCTTACTTTATTTGTAGTATTTCTTACTTTGTACCTTTTAACCCTGGCTGGCAATGTCCTCATTGTGACAATTATTAGCATTGATCATCATCTTCATACCCCCATGTACTTCTTTCTTAGTATGCTTTCGACTTCAGAAACTATGTACACATTGGACATTGTACCACAGATGCTCTCCAGCCTTATAGGACAAAACCAACCCATCTCCTTGGCTGGCTGTGCCACCCAGATGTTCTTTTTTATCACTTTGGCCATCAACAACTGCTTTCTACTCACAACAATGGGGTATGACCGCTATGTTGCTATCTGCAAACCCTTAAGGTACACGATCATCATGAATAAGAAGATATGTGCCCAAATGGTATGGGGATCCTGCAGCATTGGACTTCTTGTGGCCATAATTCAGATTTCTTCTGTGTTCAGGCTGCCCTTTTGTGATAGAGAGGTGGCCCATTATTTCTGTGAGATCCGTGCAATTATGAAACTCTCCTGTGCTGACACCAATCTGCATGACACAATTAATTTTATCATCAGCTCAGTTGTTATTGTGGTACCCATGGGTTTGGTCTTCATCTCCTATATCCTTATCATCTCCACCATCCTCAAGATTGTCTCAACTGAGGGCCAAAAGAAGGCTTTTGCAACTTGTGCTTCTCACCTCACTGTGGTCATTGTCCACTATGGCTGTGCCTCCATTTCCTACCTCAAACCCAAGTCAGAGAACACTGTAGACCAGAATCAGCTGATCTCAGTGACCTACACCATTTTTACTCCTCTCCTTAATCCTGTGGTGTACACTCTGAGAAACAAGGAAGTCAATGATGCCCTTCGCCGTGCTATTGGTAAAAAAACATTTTGCCTAGGCATATAGTCCATATTATTCGGATATCTTTGTAATCTGAAAAAAATGAATTTTTTTTGCATGTATCTGTTCAGTTTTCCCATCACCACTTTTTGAAGAAACTATCTTTACCCCTTAGTATATTCTTGCCTCTTCTGTCATAGATTAGAGGCAAATATAAGACCATAATAGACCATATAAGTGTGGTTTTATTCGTGGGCTTTCTATTCTGTTTCATTGATCTATGTGTTTGCTTTTAAGCCAGTGCCATGCTGTTTTTATTACTATAATTTTGTAGTATAGTTTGATGTAAGATACCATGGTACTTCCAACATAGTTCTTCTTTCTCAAGATTTCTATGACTATTTGGGTACTTTTGTGATACCATACAAACTTTAGGATTATTTGTTCTAGTTCTGTGAAAAATATCATTGGTATTTTGATAGGAATTGTGATGAATCTATGGATTAGGCAATATGGACATTTTAACAATGTTAATTCTTCCCATCCATGATCATAACATATGCTTTAATTTATTTGTATATCAATTTCTTTTTTCAATGTCTTCTAATTTTCTGAGTACAGGTCTTTACCTCCTTGATTAGATTTATTCCTAGTTATTTTTTGGTGCAATATGAAATTTTTTTTAAAATTTCACTTTCTGATAGTTTATAACAATTCAACTGATTTATGAATATTAATTTTGTATTTTGCTAGACCACTTTCTTACCCTGTTACAAGAATAAACTCAAATGGATTAAAAACTTAAATGTAAAATCCAAGCAGTAAACTCTCTGACATAGTTTTCAGTAATATTTTTTTTTTGGATATGTCTCCTCAGGCAAGGGAAACAAAAGAAAAAATAAACAAATGATATTACATCAAAATAAAAAGTTTTTCACAGCAAAGGAAAACATCCACAAGATGAATAGAAAACCTGAATGGGAACAAAATATTTGCCAGTGGTACATCTGATAAGAGGTTAATATCTAAAATACATAACTCATACAACATAATGGCAAAAATTAATTTAAAAATGGACAGAGGACCTGAATAGACATTTCTCCAAAGAGGACATACAGATGGCCAGCAGACATATGAAAAGATGCTAAACATCAACAATCATCGGAGAGATGTGAACTAAAAGCACAATGAGAAATCACTTCACACCTGTCAGAATGGTTATCATCAATAAATCAACAAACAAGTCTTGGTCAAGATGGGGAGAAAACAGTACAGTGTTGGTGGATTGCAAATAGTGTGGCCTCTATGGAAAATAGCATGGATGTTACTTGAAAATTAAAACAGAACTTTCTTATAACCCAGCAATTATATTTCTGAATTTTTATTCAAAGAAATCTAAAACACTAATTCAACAAGACATATTCATTCTTATGTTCATTGAAGCATTATTTGCAATAGCCAAGAAATGCAACTCAAGTGACCATCAGTAGACAAGAGGACTAAAAATGAAACTGCCTTTTGACCTAGTGATTCTTCAGCTGGGAATATAAACTAAGAATCTCAAATCATGCCCTGGCTGGTGTAGCTCAGTGGATTGAGCGTGGGCTGTGAACCAAAGTGTCGCAGGTTCGATTCCCAGTCAGGGTACATGCCTGGGTTGCAGGCCATGACCCCCAGCAAGTGCACATTGATGTTTCTCTCTCTCTCTCTTTCTCCCTCCTTTCCCTCTCTAAAAATAAATAAATAAAAAATAAAATCTTAAAATTTTTTTTAATTATAAAAAAAAAGAATCTCAAATCACCAATTCAAAAGAACTTGTGCACCCTTATGTTCAGAGCAAAGGGAAACACTATGTACTATAACCAAATGCTGGAAACAGTCTAAGTGCCCAGCAGTTGATGAATAGACCAAAAAGCTGTGGTAAGGTAAATTTACACTATAGAATACTATGCAGCAGGAAGACAGAAGGAACTCCTACCTTGGCCATAACAAAGATGGATCTGGAGAATAGTATGCTAAGTGAAATAAGCCAGTTGGTGAAGGACAAATGCCACATGTCACCTATAAGAGGAATCCAATGAACCAAATACACTATCAAACAAAATAGAACCAGAGGCATGGACACATGGAACAGACTAAAAGTGACTAGAAGGGAAAGGGTATGGGAATAATGGTGGAAAGAAGCGGAAGGGACTAGACAGAGATCATGTATCAATGATCCACTGACATGGACAACAATGTGGGAACTGACTGTGGGAGCAGGGCTGATGGGTGGAGGAGGACAAAATGGGAAAAACTGGGACAACTGTAATAGAATAACAATAAAAATGATTTAATAAAAAAATAAAAATAGAGAAATAGACAAGTAGATTAGGATGCAGTACATATATAAAACTGAATATTACCTTGCTATAAAAAGAATGAAATCTTACTATTTCTGACAACATGGATAGATCTAGAGGATATATTGAGTAAAATAAGTCAGAGAGAGAAATACAAGTACCATATGAGTTCACTTATATGTAGAATCTAAAAAATAAATGAGAAAAACTAACAGACACAGAGAACAAACCAATAGTTGACAAATGGGAAGAGGGTTAGAGGGCTGGGCAAAAAAGTGTGAAGGGATGAAAAAGTACAAAGTAGCAGTTACAAAATAGTCACTGGGATATAAAGTACAACATAGAGAATATAGTCAATAATATTGTAATAATTATGTATGGTGCCACGCGGGTATTAGCATTATGAGAGGGAATTACCACATAAGTTATATAAATACCTAACCACTATACTGTACACCTAAAACCAATACAATAAGTGTCAACTGTAGTTGAAAAATTAAAAATTAATTGATTCTCTATCAACAGAGTGTTACAAGATTTGGTGGTAAGGCTGCATTAAAGAATCATGTGTTTCCCTGGATTGAATTTTGTTTTTACCATCACTCTTCTAAACCTTCTATTAATGTTATAGGTTACCTTCAGAGGAATGATCACATGCTGCTCACAGGATAAGAGGCTGGTAAGGAATAATAAGCATAATGGGCTAAATAATGCCTATTTGAAGTGATGGTTGAACAGCTGTGTGCCTAGTTTAAATTCATGGTTTTAAAGAACATCCCAAAATCAAGTACATATGGAGCTCTAAAACTTAAGTGAGAGTATAGTTGGTGTACATTATGTGTCAGAAACACAGTCAAAACTACATTTTCCATTTATCATTACTTTCTCCTTTGGAGAGCAACAAGAATAACAGACCCTGACATTCCACAAGAAATATAAGCTTTAAAAATTCTCACCTTCAGCCCTGGCTGGTATAGCTCAGTGGGTTGAGCACGGGCTGTGAACCCAAGTGTCGCAGGTTTGATTCCCAGTCAGGCAGGGTACATGCATGGGTTGCAGGCCATGACCCCCAGCAACTGCACATTGATCTCTCTCTCTCTGCCTCTCTCTCTCTCTCTCTCTCTCTCTCTCTCTCTCTCTCTCTCTCTCTCCATCCCCTCTCCCTTCCCTCTCTATAAATAAAAAAATCTTAAAAAAAATTCTCATCTTCAATTTTGCTGAAGCTGTTTCATTGGTGAGTCCTGTATGTTTATAATTTAGTAAGTAGGTTGTTACATTAAGCAACTGAATTTTACTGCAGTTGTATATGCTTTCTATAAAATAATGCATATGCTATTCTGTATTCACAAGTATAGGCATATCTGAAGATTTTTTTAAGATTTTATTTATTTTCAGAGAGACGGGACATGAGGGAGAAAGAGGAGAGAAACATCAATGTGTGGTTGCTTCTTGCATGCCCTCTCCTGGGGAACAGGCTGGCAACCCAGGCATGTGCTCTGCCTGGGATTTGAACCAGTGATCATTTGGTTTGCAGGTTGGCACTCAATCCACTGAGCCATGCCAGCTAGGGCTGAAGATATTTTTTAAAATTAAATTTATTAATCCCAGGTTACAACTAACTCTGGCTATCTCAGATTTGAAAATTAGACCATGATTTTTATTCTTCTCTGTGTGGGAACCTCAGTAGGTACTCATGGCTGGCCTTTACCTTCTTCATTTCTACAACAATGAACTCACTTTATGTGAACAGTTGTGTGTCTACTTTAAACTCACAGTTTAAATACTTGTCTAAACAAGTCTGGGAATTTTCTAATTCCTATTGTCATTGCCTTCTAAAGGAGAAATTTATTGATTTGTGAAAAATGTTTAAGACTTTAAGATTATTTGACTTTGAGTAGAAATTAAGCAGAACTTGCCAAATAGCTGCCAGTACATAAAGAGCTAATGTTAAAAAATAGTAATAATAATCTGTATCTGCCATCCACCAACCTTTTCCTGCTTAAAGACAGTCCAAAGTGTCATTGAAATATGCATGGAAAGTGCATGGTGAACAAAAGACTTGGGAATCCCTGATGGTAAAAGGGCCAAGAAGGGAAATATTCATGTTTATGGAGCATTACCTGAAAGAATAACAGATTTGCCTCCTCAGAGCAGCTACTTCCAAGACAGAAACCTGAGAGTGAGTGTGAAGAGAACCATTAAGAAAATTTTTCTTTGCCTTTACCTGGGTTCCCTGAAAACCCTTCTGAATCTTTTCTGGGATAGTTTCAGAGGAAACATTCTTACAACCTTACTTCTGATAATGCCCCATTTGAGATTCTGTCTTTGGGATTCTTGCTCAATATAGTAACCCATTCCTGAAAGCCTCTCCCAGCAGTGACATCATTTATAGATTGTTGAATTTTTGTACACTGAACCTGTATGACCTCCCACAGCTGTACAGGACTTTATAAGATTGGCATCCATAAGGAAAACAATGTATTTCCCTGAGTTCCTATAGTTTGATACTATAGAAAATTATGGCATGATTCACCCAAAATAATGTTTGCGACAATAAAGAATGAATATTAAGGCCTTATTTCTGTTTTGTCTTTTTTTTTAATGTAGTTTACATCATCTGAACAGAACCAGAAAAAATTATACCATGCATTTACTTTCAAAGACAATGTGAGTGATCATTACTAAACATGAATCCTGCCTAAAGAGAGTTAGGCTCAAGCCACA